GATTTTTTTTTTTTTACCATTATCTATTTAAATATTTTTTCTGTCAATTTTTTTCTTTCCTGCTTGAATTCCCTTTTTGATATTTTTCTATGGCTCTCTTTTTGTCCTCTCAGAGTTTTTTCACTTTGTGTTTCAGTTTTGGTTACTTCTTTTGAATTACGTGTAATTTCAGTGATTTATTCTTTTTGGATGATGAGTCTAGCAATGAGTATCCAATGCATTCCTACCTTTTGCTATTGTACTGAAAATTTTTCTAGCATTTCCACTTGAGTCATTCTTACAGTTTTTATCACTCTGTTGGAGTTCCCTAATTATTCTAATAAGTATATTAAATTCCCTGCTGGATATAGTGCTGCTACTTGTATCGTAGTTCATTTTGCAAATTACTATGTCTTGATATCATGTTTTATACTTGCTTTTTGTATGTCTTGTAATTTTTGGTTGCAAGTCAGACATCCGAGGCTTAGAAATGGTTTTCCCTTTCTTTGCCAGGTTTCTATCCTATGTGGAGATGTTGCGCCAAACTAGTCAGTAATTGAATTTGGTTTGAATTTTTATTACTAAGATTACCTTAGAAATCTGTTAGGGCTTCTATTTTTTATTATTTATTTATTTATAATTAATTTTATTGGGAAAGAAATAGCAACGAGACATTTTCAAAACATGGGCTTCTATTTTTCTAATCGAGATATAATTTACAATAAATTCCACCCTTTTTAGTCTATAATTCTGTGAATTTTGACAAATACAAGCAATCATATAACCACCACCTTCTTAAAGATACAGAGCAATTCCACTGCTCACTGGATTTCCTTGTGCCATGTTGTAGCCTTTCTTCTCGGGTCTGGCATTTCCCTACCACTCTCCTTTCTCCTCTTCCTCTTTTTCCTCTTTTTCCTTCATTTCTTCCTACTCACTTTTTTCGGTTGGACTGAGGCTTGCAGCCAGGGTTTCACGCTGAGTTATAACCTTGGCTATCGTTTTTTAGAGACAAGGTCTTGCTAAGTTGCCTATGCTGGGCTCAAACTTTCAATCCTCTTGTCTCAGTCTCTGAAAATTTAGGATTACAGGTGCGCACCATCATGATTGGCTACCTGTGATCTGCTTGATATATAAATGGAATCCTATCACATGAAGCCCTAGAATTTGCTTCTTTTACTTAGTATAATGCACTTGTCTTTATCTATGCTCCTATCTATGGATAGTGGTTGTATATTTTTATTGTGGAGTTATATTACATTTCCATATTGTGATTGCACCATTGTTTTGTTTAGTCATCAGTTGAAGGGATTTTGGATCTTTTCCAGATTTTAGCAAATAGTGTTTTGTTTAGAATGTATATGACTATATATATGATTTTATTCTAATTTTTAATTGTTAATTTAATAATTGTTTTTATCTTTATTAGTTCCCTTTTTGCTTTATGTTCTATTCTTTAGGTTTTACTTTAGTTTTCATTCCAAAAGGTAGTAATGTGGTATAATCTTTGCAAGGTGATAACATGAGATATTGTGGTTTTCACACACGAGTAGTCTTAGTGTAGAAGAGAGAGAGGAAGTTGGATTTACTGGCAGATTTACTGTGCCCTTACAGACAGTATTTGACCAGCATTGGCACGAGGGAAGAACATTCTGTGGTTCTCCAGGAAGTAATACTTCAGCAGATAGGCAGGACAGCTATTTCCTAAGGCTACTCATTTATTTCTTCCTCAGGGTTTATTGACAGTGAAGGTACTCTTTATTTATAGAGCCATACACTATGGCTGGAAAAATCCATCTCCTCAGTGTCGATTTTTAAATGCAGTCCTAGAGAGGAGAGCAGACTTGGTTGAAACTGCTTGGATCACTTGTCAGTTAAGAGCTGCGAGCTGATCTCTTCATTTGGTGGAAGAGCCATCAGAGCTGGGGTGCAGGCCGGAGGCCTACTTGTGGAGAGTGTGGCCTGTGGTAGAGAGTGCCAGGAAGTGAACTGACTTCCTCTATTCTTTTGGCAAATCAGGCCCAAGCATTTCTTTTCTAAGGTGAATGATCCTTTCGTTCAATTGCCTGGAGCTTGGAACTGATGTGAGGTAACTTGTCAAAAGTGGGGTGCAGGCCCTTTGCTGCAGGCCTTTATCTCATTTCACTGTGCTGGAGGCCTTAGCACAGTAGGGTATGGGGGTGATGTGGGAAAAGAGAATTCTGTACCTTAAAAAAAGATAAATTAACTGGTACGCAGGGCCTGGGAGGCCCTCCCTCTTAGAGCTTTTCTTGTTCTGTAGGCTACACATTTCACGTGGGTCTCAGGGGTGCCCTTGGAAGTGGTTGAGAATGATTCTCTCACACCTCCATCCTGTTAATCATCTTGCTCCATTTTAATGCTTGGTTTTCTTTATTATCTCTTTCATTAGACCAAGTTTCTTGAGGGATATAGCAGTAAGCCTGGAGCGTGATGACTTGATAAAGCTGACTGTGCTAGTTCAGGTCACTTGGTAGACTAAGAACTAGATCTGGGGTAACTGAATTCAAGTATTTATAATGATGATTCTGTCCTAGACCTTAGATCACTGATGGCTTCTCTTTTTCAAAGGGAAAATTTCTGCAAGACATATATACTTCTTATAACTTTTCTTTCAGCCCCTGAATTCTCTTGATTAAAGAATCTCACACCACTTTTGTATAAACATTAGAGAGTGGAGGAGATGATTTATATAAAGACTCATAAAATACGTGCTGGCCCTTTCTCCTTTTATCTCTTCCCTTGTAATCTTGGCTTTTTATAAACCACTTGGAGATACATTTTAAGGTCTGTCTGTGTCAGGCTCATTTATAATTTATGTCTTTGATCTCTCACCCACCCTTGGAAGAATATTAAAATATCACATTGCCAGCCTATTATTATTATATTAAAGAGAAAGATATATTAAGAAAAGTAAAGGCCTGAGACAATACCCAGGAATAGCTATCCTGAGTAAATACATTTGGCATGTAGGTTTCGAAATCATAAGCATCTTTCTGTAATAAAAGGCTTACCAATTAGTTTTCTAATGGAAACCACAAGAGTTCATAGCAGCTTCTAGAAGCTTCTACTGTATTTAAAAATCTGTAGCAGGGCCCAGGAGGTGGCTCAGTGTAATAAGTGCTTCCTTGGCAAACGCAGGGGCCTGAGTTCAATCCCCAGTTAAAAAAAAAAAAAAAAACTGTAGCAAATTTGTCCCTGAGAAAGGTTACTCAAGATACTTTGGTTTTTAGAGTAATGATTCTCAAAATATAATAATCTGTTGTCTGTCTTGGTGATTGTGGTTCAAGATGTCTAGATTGGAGTACAGAAAACTGAATCATTTTTTGTTTGGTTGATTTGGAGGACAAGGTTTGCTACATAGTGCAGAGTGGTCGTGAACTCTTTACATAGTAGTCCAGGCTGGCTGCCAGATGGCTCTGTTCCTGCCAAAGCCTCCTTAGTGCTGGGCAACTGCATCGGTATGGATAGCCTCCTAATTGGTTCTGGGTCTCTCTTTGACAAGCACTCGCTAGCCTTCTGGGCTGGGAGGTCTTTTGCAGAAGTTAATGATGGGTGGTTTTAGGTGAAGACTCAAGCAAAACACAGCATGGCATGAGAAGTGTTGGTCACTGGCTGTGAGATGTGGTGAGGGAGTGAATTATCTCAGGCCCCTTCAGAGGAACAGTGGCCCTGAGCACGCGGCACCATTTCCAACTCTGTGATTCCCACGGGATTCTAGCTTCTCTTTCTGAGTTAGCTTGGAGGGCAGGGCCTGTGACTTCCTTCTCTCTACTCAGAGTACCTAGTAGCATGCTCAGCAAGTGTTTGCTGAAGACTGGTTACATCAATGGATGAATGAATAAATGAATAAATGAGCTGTGATTATTCACAGATGAACCCAGAGCCCAAAGTTCCCAGGCCAGAAGTTCCACCAACATCACAGAATGATGTTAATGTATATAGGATAGATTTGAAGTGTGTAATATTTTTTTTCTCCCTAAGTTAATATTGGACTTGGAGTGGTACTGGTGGGTCTCAGATGTGGCTTCACTTCATACCCATGTAGCTGCCTTCTTCCCTTGCTGCTGAATTTTTAAGCAAAAAATGTAATGCACACACTTGGTATAAAGTGCAAAGGAAGTTGATCTCTTTCCTACCCTCACTGCACCCTCCCAGAACACACTACTTCCAGTTTCTTGTGTCACTCTACAGATATATTTAGAATTGTGTGTACCCTGCCCTTTCTCCTGAATGGTTACATGTTCATTCTTTGTACTACATCTGGCTTTTTTTTACCTAACTACATATTAACATATATGAATCTGCCTCAATCACTGTAGTGGCTATGTGAAATTTTATTGTATGCTGTTTATCATATTGTATGCATGTATGAATTCATGTATTGCTATTGCAAGCTATGTTGTAGTGAAGGGGAGTGAATGTGTATCCTTGAATATGTGAACAAATCCATGGAGGGCAAATTCCTAGGGATGATATTCTTAGGTTAAAGGGAAAGTGCATTTTAACTTTTTCAAAGTTGTTCCCCAAAGAGTCTGTGTGGATTAAATTCTACCACTGGAATGACAGTGCTCATTTCCCAACATTAATGTTGAGGTAGTTTACAAAATGAAGATGTTGAGACCTTCACAGCTTTGTTGATTCCAGACCCAGGAGAAGCCTAGGGACCCATGTGCTTTTCAAAGCTCCTGAGAAAGTAAGCTATTGTCCATACTTTTTTCTCACATGATTTTACACTTCTGTGATTCTGAGGTAGATGGTCCATGGAACCACTGAGCTTGTGCCAAGCCCCTCATATGAGCTTGCTGGTTTCATGCTACTAAAGCTCTTCCTGAGTAACAAACAGCTAAGAAATAGGGAACTTGTGTTAATTGAAAATAATGTTCTAGTATATTTTTGTTATGCCGGTATTCTTGTTTTTGTCCTTCTGTATTTCCTGTTTTGGTCTCAAGTCTCTCTTTTATCTAGGACGAATCACTCAGGGATTAACATCTTTCCTACAGGTTCACAAAGATGTACTTTAAGCATGTACTCTTCGAGGATACCTTTTTTGATGAGTGCTATTTTGAAGATGTCACATCTACAGATACCTACTTCAAAAATTGCACCATCGAGTCAACCATCTTTTACAACACAGGTGAGAGCATAGGTAGGATCAGTGGAAGGTAATGAAGATGGACTGGTGTTTAACATCTGAAACAGTCATAAGCTTTCAAAGGAGGAAAGTATTTGTATATACAGTGTCAAGCCATAGGGTGGAGAAATAGGTACTCACCCTAGGGCTGACACAAATTAAGTCCATAACCTTCACCAAGGGATTAGTTTGTGTCCCAGTTTTCCTCACATAGCAAGTAGAAACAAAAGTTCTAGGTGTTTCGCTTGGATGAGACTGATGCTGAGGATCTTTGTAGGAACAAGATACAATACCAGCTAAAAAACAGCATTTCTGGAGGGCTGCACTTTGTTCATGGAATGCATTCCTGAAGAGCTTGCATAATTTGAAATTGGTACCATGTGAAAATTCATGTTTTCACAATAACAAATGAAAGAGGAAAATTACCTATATGCAAATTTTGTGCATAAAGCAAGCTGCTAAGCATATTTTAGGAATATACCATTTCAGATTTCTGTAACTTGAAAAGTCACAGCACGCAACTACTCCACTGTGCTTTGTCACTTTTGCTACTGTCCTCCTAGGTTAAGGACACATGGAGCAAAGCTGAGATGTAAGGAAACTAAATGTTCTTTACTAGGGGGCCTTACCCACATGGTCTCAGCTGAGAAACATACTGTTATTATCCCCACCTGATAGTGAAGGAAACTGACACTTAAATAATTTGCTCAAGGCCACAGCTGGCAGGGTGTAGGGCTTTGGATCCATTCCTCAATTGTTTGGCTCCAGGGTCTGTGCTCTTTCTACTGAATTACTTACATTATATCCAGATTTGTGCTTTTCCCCTGGTGTCAGTACTAAGGGATAGTTTATATAGGAGCATCTTTGTCTTCTGTGATATCAGTCCTACAAGATTGCATACCTGGTACCTGAACATGCCTCAGTCTTTCAGCTGTTACAAGACTCACTTTCTTGAATTTTTTTTTTTTTTTTGCTTCACTCAAAACAAAACAAAGCAAAATACAAGCTCCATAAATTTACTACTTGTCCTTAAAAAACTAACTCATCCTTTTCTTCTTTCATGGTTTAAGGATCCTTCTTCATTTGCATACCATTAACACAGGAGGTTTTGCAAACACTTATAGTTGGGCAATGTCAGAGGCAGACGAAGCAACAGGGATAATTAGGAACATACCTGCAGTTGTGTAAGTAGAGACTCAGGGATGTTTAAGAAGGCCATCTTCCCAAAGACAAGTTTCTCTATTTAGCCTTATGTCTTCTAGAATGTCAGGTCTTAGTGTCAGAAGATACGGGCCAGGGATATAGCTCAGTGGTGTAAGTGCCTGCCTGGCAAGTGCAAGGTCCTGAGTTCAATCCCTGGTACTGGAAAAAAAGAAAAGAAAAGAAAAGAAAAAAAGATGTGCATATAGCTGAACATGGTGGTGCATTTAATTGTAACACTCAGGAGGCTGAGGCTGGAGAATAGGCACAAGTTGGAACCAGCCTGGGCTACACAGTGCATTCCAGGCCGGGCTGGCCTACACAGTGAGAGTCTATCTCAAAAAGCAGAAATAAAAACAAAAAAATACAGTAAAAAAGCAGGTGAGCAAATAAATAGGGTTTTATTGTTAAAGGTGTTCAGGCTACTACACAGACAGGCTTATTGTAGATTGTCTTGGATTCTGTTTCACTAAGCCAGGTAGCTTCAGGGAAGTGGCCCTTGGCTCTTATTATCACTTAATTGATACAGACAGAACTGTCATATAGTTGGAGAGATGGTATATTTTAAAGTGTCCCTCAGCTGCAAGGAAAGCCAACATTTTGGCCCTAGCCTTCCAAGGTCAATTAAGACTCAGGACATACGAGAACTTGTACTGTAATGTCATGTAACTCGGCAGTGTCCCAAATTTTCTGATCAAGGAGAATATGGGGCCAAAGAGGAAAGTGATCGATGATGTAGAGTGTATCTAAGGAGAGTCACATGGAGAGAAAACATTCTCTCAGGCTTTCACAGAGAGCACATTGGCCAAGCAATGGCCGTGACTCATCCACATGGCTGATACTGACAAACAATCTGAGGTACAGGATCTCAGGATAAATCCTGAGGGCATTTCACTGACCTTATCAGACCCAAAAACTACAACTCTTGTTGCATAGGTCCTGCTTTACCTTGTTCTTAACCACCCAGCAGAAAAGTATAAAAACGAAATATAAGAAGTAAAGCCATGGTGTTATGTTGAGCTGTAGGGGACTCAGGTCAACAATTTCTGACATTGCCAGTGAAGCAGAAGACCCAATACTATTATGGACTACTGAACTCTTTTAGATTATTTTGCTGAGTTAACACACCTATAATATTCAAATAACGGAACTTAACAAAAAAAGGGTATACAGATGAATGTCCATTTTGTATCTGTGTATTCAAAGTGGTTAGGGTAGTTATATAGTTACATTCTCTTAATGAATAGAGTGATTTTTTCTAATGGTGTTTGTAGATAAGATATCATGTCTGCATCTTGTACAGCAATTAACCACTGGGAGGAATGTATGCAATGTGTTAATTATTGAAACTGTCCTTCCAATTTGATTTGAAACTGTCTTATTGCTATTTGTTTATCAATAAAATTATGGAAAAAATAAAATAAACGAAGCTAGTAGTATAAAAAAGTAAAGTGTCCCTCAGATTCATCTTAATTTTAGGTTTCTTTTTTATGGTAATTTGAAGAGGTCATTGTGCATTTGGAAGTGTTTCTCTCCATCCAATCCTGGGCACACCTTGACTAAGGAGTCACAGCTTGCCCATCGGAGAAAGTGTAATTCTGTCTCTGCCTCTGCCCTCCTCTCCCCATCCCCTCCACTCATAGGAACCAAAGCTTTTATTCTTTTCCCAGATCTGTACAAGCATAAATTCATCAACTGTCACTTCATCAATACCACCTTTCTGGAGCAGAAGGAGGGCTGCCACATGGATTTTGAGGAAGACAACGACTTCCTGATTTACCTTGTCAGCTTCCTGGGCAGCCTGTCTGTCTTACCTGGGAACATCATTTCTGCCCTGCTCATGGATAGGATCGGAAGGCTCAAAATGATTGGTGAGTTGTTCGTGGTGTTCTGCTGGCTTCCATGGCTCGGCTGGTAACTTTCAAGGTTAATAAAGCGAAGTATTTCCTTTTCTTTTTTTGAAAACTATAAAGAAAAATTATTAATTTTTTAAAGGAGAGTACAAATTAGTATTAAAACAAAAAATTACAAGTGATACAGAATTTCATTTAAAATAATGTGAATTTCACAGTATTTGTTGTAATGCATGGTGTTGTCTTTCAACAAGTTATTCATATTACTAGATATATGCATGTAAAACTGGAAGAAGAAAGAAAATAAAGAAATATATAAGAAATTAAGAACACAAAATGTACAAACAATTGAAAAAAAGGAGACAAAACAAATTAGGTATTATGAATCACATCCACATGTGCAAACATAGTATTGTCTCCTTAGTGTGAGAACCTGAAAGACAACAATGGAACCTGAAGGGTACAATAAATACTGGAGAAAGGGAATGAACTTATTCAAAAGGAAAGAGTTACTGAGTCGAGGTGAAGGACAGGAGAAGGAATGGGGGAAAGAGATATATCTATGTATGTAAACAGGATGGTTTGGACAACTGTACTGTGCATTTCTGTTGGTCTTTGGAAAGGAGTGTTTCTTTTTCTTAGGGAAATCTTGTTAAGTAACCCTAGCAGGTAAGACTTAGTCTGCTGTTGTAGACACAAGGATACATGTCTAAAGAAGACTAGAGCTCTATGGCAAGAGTCTTAGAGGATGGATTCTGTTATTGTTCTACCTGTTCTATTTTCACTTCCATAAGGATATTGAATATATTAAACCTACATGCTTCATAACACTAGAATGAAAAAATATAAAATGCCCTTAAATGATAGTTTGATTATTTAAGATGAAAAATGTTGTCTTTATTGTTTATTAGTAATAACATTTTGAGCTTTGCAGTTGGAAAGACCCCTGTTGAAGTCCTTTCACATAATGATTATTTGACTTTGAACATGTTTCTTTTCTTTAGCTTTTACTTTCCTTCTGTTTTTAAGATGAAGATGTCTTAGATAACTAGTAGGATTTTGGTTTTTTTCCTATTTATTTATTTACAAAATCTCAAAACAAGATTTTAGGAGAGTAACAATAGTTAGTACATTGTGTATTGTTACTGCCAAAGTAGTTTCTCATATTACAAGATAT